TTACAGTCTAACAGCTAGATGCATATTGTTCATAGTTAAGTAATGCAGAGTACTACAGTTCCATTTCCTTTCTTATATTCTTCGGGGGTTAATAATTATCTTACTTTGTGTTGTTTTCTTATATTCCCTGTGTATTTATTACTGATTTATCTTCAGATTCTTTGACAACACTATAGCATCCTTATTGATATGGTAAAGTTTAGTATTAAGATATTCACCTGTAAGCTTTCAAGATATTTCTTTTCTCTGCGAGTCTAGACCTTGAAATTGTTAAAAAATGTATTTAGTGGCTACTATGGCAGATTTCTCACATGCATATATTGCATAGTGGTGAGGTCTGGGCTTTTAGTGCACCCATCACCTAAATAGTGAGCACTGTACCCACTGGGTCATTTTTCAACCTTCATCCCCCTCCTGCTCTCCATGTTTCAGAGTCAGCATCTACTATTCCCTTCTGTATGTTCATGTGTGCCCAATGTTTAGCTCCCATGTATAAGTGAGGACATGCAATGTTTGACTTTGTGTTTTTGAATGATTTCAGTTAGGATAATGGCTTCCAGTGCCATCCATGTTGCTGCATAAGACATGGTTTCATTCTTTTTAAGGCTGAGAAGTATAGTGTTTTGTTTTGAGATAAGGTCTCACTCTGTCACCCAGGCTGTAGCCTCAACCTCCTGGGCTCAGGTGATTCTCACACCTCAACCTGCCAAGTAGCTGAGACTACAGGCACACACCACCACACATGGCTAATTTTTAAATTTTTTTGGAGAGATGGGGTCTCCCTATATTGCCCAGGCTGGCCTTGAAATCCTGGACTCGAACGATCCTCCAGCTTTGGTCTCCCAAAATGCTGGGATTACAGGTGTGAGCCACCATGCCTGACTGAAGTATGTATGTATGTATGTATGTATGTATTATTATTATTATTATTGACAGGATCTCGCTCTTTTGCCCAGGCTGGAGTGCAGTGGGACAATCAGTTCACTGCAGCTTCAACCTTCCAGGCTCAAGCAATCTTCCTACCTCAGCCACCCAAGTACTTGGGACCATAGGCTCATACCATCATGCTTGAATAATTTTCGTATTTTTATTTTTGTAGAAACAGAGCTTTGCGGTGTTACCCGTGCTAGTCCCAAACTCCTGAATTCAAGCAATCTACCAACCTCAGCCTCCCAAAGTGCGGGGATAACATAACAGGCGTGAGCCACTACACCCAGCCTGAAGTATGGATTTTCAATGACATGTTTTGGTAGAGTTCTTTCATTCAATGAGTTGGATGTTTCTTGGGCCCTTCAATATGGTAAGAAATGCTTTGGGTCATTTTTAATTCTGCGATGTTTATTTCTGTTATTTGTTTGAGGGATTTCTTTCTTCTGAGTTTGTTGTTCTGTCTGTAGCTCCTAAATTGATTCTTTTTTATCCAATTTTTCGTTTTCATATATTTTTATCTTCTGAGTTTTCTTCTATTGTATCTTCTAGTCCTTAAGTAGAATTTTTTATTTCTCTTGTATTAGTTGGTAATTTCTGAGAGTAATTGTTTTCTGAATATTCCTTTTATTTAATGGTATTCTTCTTGGTTTCATGACTCTTCTCTTACTTTCTTATTTATTTTTCGAGGTTATCAGTTCCAGGGTTGTTTTGTTGTTCTTTTGCATGTGCTCATTTGTGTTTTTAGCTTTCAATTCCTCTCTTAATGGTCTCATTTTCTCTGAGTTCCTTTTCCATCTCCTTTGATCTTTGTCTTCCATGTTGGAGACTTTAAAACATGTTGTATGATTCTGGCTCTCCGTTCATATTCCAAAATGGTACAGTGATACACTAAAAGAAAGTCTTGGGCAAGTAAGTGGGTGTGATTTGTTGACCATGTAGAAACTCAGCCTTTTGGTTGGAGGCGTCCAAATGCCAGTTGATATAGGTATTTTCTCCTAGAGTGGGAAATTTTCCTGGGGTAAACTGTCCGATCTCTTGCCCGTGAGAGCAGGGGGAAATGGTAAGGAAGACAGTTTAAACGTAGTCTATCTGGCTGTTAGGGCTCAGGGTACACCAGAGGGTGAGTACGTAGGAGGTGGGGGGACTTTTAGTTGATTAAGAAAGAGAGTTAATTCTCTCTCTTTCTGGTGCTTCACTCTTATGTTCAAATGTGTCTGATGTCTGTGAGCCCAGAGCTTCTCTGGTTCAAAGTATTTCCATAGTAAACGTCCCATCTCCTGTAGGGTAGCAGAAATGTTGTTCCTTATCAGATAGGAGAGAGCATTTGGAATGTACAGTTTTGTTTAAGTTTTATTTTGTGTTTAGTTGATACATAATGATTGTACACACTTTTTGGGTACAGTGTGATGTTTTGATACATGTATGCATTGCATAAGGATCACATTATCCTTGCATAAGGATATCCATCATCTCTAATCATTTCTTTGTGGTGAGAACATTAAAAATCCTCTCTTCTAGCTACTTTGAAATACACAATACATTTTCGTTAACTACAGTCACCTTCCTGTGTAATAGAACAGCAGACGTTATTCCTCCTAGCTAACTGTAACTTTAAACTAGTTCACCAACCTCTCCCCATGCCACATCCGTCATCCCCCCCCCAGCCTCTGGTAATAACTGTTCTACTCTCTACTTCTATGAACAACTCATTTAGATTCCCCATATGAGTGAGATCATGGGGTATTATCAATTCCCCTTTTATCATTCCTATCCTATGTCCTTGCCTTTATATGTACCCACTGCCTCTAATTTTTGAGATATTCTGGAATTGCTTAGTGAAAATTGGCTTGCTTAACTTGCTTCTCGTTTGGCCCTGCATAGAGTAGAGAGGCTGATACCAAAGCTTGCTATCATATAGCTATCAACTTTCCATTTTCCTGAGTAGTCTTGAAATCTTTCATCTGCTACCATTTTTTCTTCAATACTTTCTAATTTTGTAATGTTTTCTTTTTTCCTTTAATTTAATTTTGTAATGTTTTCCTTTTTCCTTTAATCCCTTTACTGTCATTTTAATGAAATTTCACAAGAGAACAAAGATAAATATCTGCATTCACTTTGACTAATTAAATAATTCAGTTCCATTACTTTCTTTAATATTAATGATGGCATCTTTCTCCAAATCATTGCTTATTTACCACATTGATCTTTGATTTTTTTTTTTTTTTTTTTTTTTTTGAGACCGAATCTAGCTCTGTTGGCCAGTCTGGAGTGCAATGGCATGATCTCAGCTCACTGCAGCCTCTCCGCCTCACAGGCTCAAACAATTCTCCTGCCTCAGCCTCTCGAGTAACTGGAAGTACAGGCATGTGCCACCATGCGTGGCTAATTTTTGTATTTTTAGTGGAGATGGGGTTTTACCATGTTGGTCAAGCAGGTCTCAAACTCCTGAGCTCAAGTGATTCATCCACCTTGGCCTCCCAAAGTGCTGGGATTTCAGGTGTGAGCCACCATGCCCAGTCTGATCCTTGATTTTTCCATGACACTTGGCATTACTTACGATTTACCTCTGGGTTGCATGACACTATAGCTTCCCAATTCATATTCTATGTCTATTTGTTCCTGAACTTTTGTTTAGATTTCTGTTTGAATGTCTATTCTCCAATATGGAAATTTTCAAAGACCATGTTTATATCTTTCTCAATTCCAAAGGTTTGAATGAGATAACATATGTTAGTCACTTGTTGTGCTGTGTAGCATAAAACCATAAACAATCTTGGAAATTGCTTCACATAATCTTTTACTTATCCTTATCATGATACTTACAAACTGAATTGTAATTTCATTGAGGTCGGGATTGAAGTTTAATTTGCCTCTGTGTGTTTAACACCTAGAACCATGATCCATATGTGTATATATAAAAGCATATAATATGCATTGGCTGTTTGTAGAGGGAAGCAAAAAGAACAAGAAGAGACACAAGAAGAAAGGAATTGATGTCATTTGTAAAAATGTATAAATTAACCACGTAACATAAAAATAATCAAGATGCTTTATTTGGCTTGCTAACGATTTAAAATAATAAGAAAACACATATTTTGGGAGAAAATATCGTCAGAGTTTTTATAGAAACCTATAGAGAGAAATGGAAAGTTTCATTCAGATTCATGGCTTTCACACCTTGTTAGCCTCACTGCTGTAATTAGTTTTAATCTCCTAGATTGTATAGCACAACTTATGCCATTAATGCCAAAAATACACACACACACACACACACACACACACCATAAAAACATGTAAATGTAACTAAAACCTACCAGAAATCATACATCTTGTTCAGAAGTGTTTCATTAAGTCAAATGCGTGAAAAATAGGTAATTATATAAATTTTATCTTTTTAAAATAGAATTGAAATGACTGATAGAAGAGAATACAAAGGGACCCTCCCCACATTGATTGTCCCCATCTCCCGGCTTTTACCCAGAGACAGTCATAGAATTAGTCCTTTAGGGCAGGAATGGGAAGGCCAGGCTCATCCATGTGAGGAGAGAGCAGGTAAGTTGTGGGGTTTTTGAGGGGAATCTACTGTTTCATTTTAAAAATGTCAACATAAAACAAACAAACAAAGACTATATAGGGGACATTTCACATTTTATCTACACCTACCTAAAGCATTTGAGGATTATTGTCCAGAACTTGCTGTATGAATATTCTTTAGTTATTTCTTTTCCATGTATCCTTTTTCTTTGAGGTTTTCCTCAAGAGCAGAATGCTTCTAAGTTGCTAGACAAATTCTTGATGGCTCAGTAAAGCCACCAGTCAGTATGTTTCCTGTCTCCCTACTAGGAGCAGTTTGAACATCTCTGTCCAATTTCTGGAATAAAACATCTGAGAAATGACAGTTCACAGTATCTGTTAAAACAAATAAATTCTCTGTCCAATTCCTGGAATAAAACATCTGAGAAATGACAGTTCACAGTATCTGTTAAAACAAATAAATTTACAGGAATACTTAAAGTTCATACAATGGGAGATTTACTTCCGGAAACAAGTCATACCCACTCATTCCTCAGTTAACCAACCGGACACAGCCCTGGTGACGGCTTTCTGAGGATGACACAATGGAGGCTTCTCCAATAGCTCTAAAATTGTTGCGTGGAAAACATTTGGCAGCCTCAAAGAGCGGTCTTGTTGACCCCAACTGTATCATTTTACAATCATTTTTCATCAAAATCATTCTTGGTATGTCTTATGCCCAAGCAGTTATTTTTCTTAGCAACATCATAGTATGGACGGATTCGCTATGGGATAGGTCCTGAATATTCTTGCTATTTTTCTGATTTCACTTTGAAAAGAAGTCCTAGAATAAATTCAACCCTGCTCTTTCAAATAGCTTCCTCAAAAAAATATATATAAATAATCTTTTAAGTCTGCTTTTCTCTGCACATGGCCCTCTACACAACATCCACAGATACAGCAGAGACGTAGACGAACGATGGGTGTAACCAAGAACAGAGAGGTATGTATACCAATTTCCATAAATATCAATGTATCAAATTTTATAGATCGATAAGGAAGCATGGGCTCCAAGGTAGGCATTATCTTTGGCCTGTTGATTGTCCACTGGCAAAGTCTGTAATTTTGAAGTTGTATTAACAACAACAGGTTGTTGCATCATCTAACACAAATGAATGCATCCGTTTAGAATATACAGGAGAAGACCATCTATTTCTGAGGAAGGGGCTCGAAGCACTCTCTCCTGGGGAATTCAACTTCATATCAGTGAGGTAAAGTGGATGTAAGAAAAATGCTGTGTGTGTGGAGAGCATTAAGAAAGGTCATATATTTCAAAAAAGAATATTGTTTACAAGGAGTGTTATAGGTTTCAGGGGAAATGTTAATTTTTTTTTCCTGGATGAAATAGCTACTGTAAGTTTTTAATGGTTAATCATTCATTCTTGAATTTTTATATTAAGCATTTCATATTACTTTATTGACTTAACTTTTATGCTCTTCTTCATTTTGACAGTAAAGAATGACCAGGCAACACTCTTTGAAAATTGGAGACCATTTGCAGCTGCTCTCTGTTGAGGAAAGTGAATAATAGGGTGCCCTCAAGGAATTGCAAAGGTATCACTCAACAGAAACTTTTGTGTCTGAAGAAAACTAGATCATTTTATCATGGTAGGCATGCTGATATGTTTGCTTTAATAAAATGCCATATTTCTGCCTTTAATCTCTTGTCAACCCGCTATTAAAAAGCCCCAAAGTGCATGCGTGCAGCACATGTAAACACTTGTGGTTTTGAGGTTACCACAAAACATACTAATAAAGCATGTAATTTGTGTTTTGTGCACATACTGTAATAATTTATTGAGTGGTACAGAGAAGCTAGAAAAGGATTTTCTCTAACTTTTGCCAGCAAGTCAATTTAATTTTAGTGCTCTATGCAGAAGTACATGTATACACATGTTCTTGTGATGACATCATGTTTAAAAAGCATTAGGAAGCCTGCATAACAAAATGGGACAAGATATAAATTCATTTTGCACATACTGAGGACATTCTACCAAGCATGCTAATGTTCCTCCTATAAGCTGAGCAGCTGGGAGGTGTGGCGTATATTCTTCCACAAAGGGTTATGTGTGTGTGTGTGCGTGCGTGTGTGTGTGCATGTTTGTGTGTGTGTTGAGCACTGACAATACATTAGCAGAACATAGATCAAGTAAATTCAAGTAAATTAAGACGTATCATAATAGCAAGAACTTTGATGAACTTTATCAACATTATCCCCAGTCTCCCTGGGGCAGGAGGGCAGAGAACAATGTTGTTCCTTCTTTTATGTGGAATAACTAAATGCACAATGGTTGGATCACTTCTAGAGGATCCTAGAAGAGCTCATTGCCAGACTACAGCTTCCACCATGATTGTTTGGGTAGCCAATTTATCTGTTTACGTAAGATCCTTACAGGTAGAAGCTGTCAGGTTGTACACCACTTAGCTTTGTTCTCTCACTTCTTCCCTTGTGAGGTTCCTTGCACACAACAAATCATCCACACAGAAACATAATTTGAAAGGAAAAGGCCTTGGGCTTATGGAAGAAATACACACCAGTTTCTGGAAAATTCTGTGAAATTCCGTAGTTGGAAAATAATTCTGTGAAATTCTGTGCTTCATTTTCTCAAACAAAAAACACATTCAGTTTAGAAATAATGTCTGTGCCCAGAAGAAATGGGTATTAGATACTCAGAATGTGTTTATTCCAAGAAGATGCAAGATTTCTCTCCTGGAAAACAATTCACCACTCTCTATGCTTCTTTTTCTTTCTGAGGAGGCTTATTTATACACATATCAGTTTTCAATGCACAGACAGATCTTCGTGGTTCACAACCTTTTACATTCGAGAGCTAATTAAAATGAATCCTTTGTGCCATCTCTCAGATACAACTCACTCCTTCATGTTGTTCATTGACTAAGATCTAATAAACCAGTTCCAATTCATAACTAGGGATTATTGAACTTTCTGTGACCATTGGCTATCATAGAGGCATTGTGAAAATCTCTAAGGGGACAAGTGCCCAGCAGCCTGGCCCAGAGGGTCCTCTTACTTGAAGTAGAACTCAAGTTGCACCCTATTTTGTAAGGCTGATCCAACCAAGAAAAGAGTTTTCTGCAAGAGATTAAGCCAATTCTCCAGACCTCTAAGGAGGAAATCAAGATCCGTGTGGCTGTTTGATCACTTCTGTGATTTGAATGTCTCCATGGTTTAATCATTTGCTTACATAATGAAGACATTAACAGAGAGAAGAGACGAGGGTAGGGGAAGAGAGGGAAGGGAAAGTGAAAGATAAGAAGGAAAAAGAAAAGAAAAAAAGAAAAGAAAGAAAGAAAGAAGAGAGAAAGAAAGAAAAGAAAGAAAGAAAGAAAGAAAGAAAGAAAGAAAGAAAGAAAGAAAGAAAGAAAGAAAGAAAGAAAGAAAGAAAGAAAGAAAGAAAGAAAGGAAGGAAGGAAAGAAAAGAAAGAGAAAGGAAAGAAAGAGAAAGGAAAGAAGGGATGGAGGCAGGAGAGGTGGGAAGAGAGGAGAGGCGAGGAGAGGCGAGGAGAGGAGAGGAAGAAAGCAAAAAACAAAGAAATTGGTCAGAAAACCAGGTATCATTAAAATGTTGATCTTGCACATGTTGGCTGGTACTAGTTTTCTAGTATCAGAGGTACTGGAGTCAATGCTAATTTTAAAAAGCCAGGAACCAACATTTTCAAACTGTTAAAACTTATGATTTGGAAGACTTTTTGATTGGCATAAAACGTAACAGGTATAAAAAGTAGAGATTAGCTATTTAAGTAGCTAGGTTAAAAGAAGCTTAATCAGGGCTCTTTTGCTTAGTAGCCTTTTTAATATTTATCTGTGGGTTTCTCAGCCCCACATGGATGCCAAATCATCTTTCATGATCAAATTTAACTGATCAAATTTCTTTTAACATACACACAAAGATGGGAGTAGGGTAGGGGCACAAATAAATACAAAAAATTCAGAGTCAAAACAAAGTTAGTTCCCAGGATCCTGTTTTAAATCTGTAACTCTGTAAGGTTGCAAATGTTCATGCATATCAAACTCACTTTATTTTATTTGGATGTGGTAATCAAAACATTTGTTGAAACGTTTTAGATAAAGATGGGTAGGTTTGAAGAATAATGGTAAATGTGAATCAATTTAGAACACCAGGATAGACTATATTTTAAGCTAAACTTACTTACATATTAAATAAGCACCCATTAGTAGCTTTTGTAATGCTTTCATCTTTGTTAAACAAAATGTCATACCTAAAGGTTATAATTTCTATTTAAAGAGATTAATGCAAAATGATTATGTAATTGCAGTAGAAACCATTGATATCAAAACACACAGTATTCACATCACAGGACACAATCCAGCTTGTAACCCACTAAATATACTCTACATAAATGTAAGATCTGTGACAACCATTTTTTTTCCTCAATAAGAAGACTGACGGAAAGATAATAGTACTTTTTCAAAAAATTGTCCCCCTAAGCTTATGTGTACATATTTCCTTATAATGAGTTCTAGAACTAACTGAAGAGTGAAAATCTCAGAGTTAAGAAAGTCGTAAGTTCAGGCTCCCATGAGTTTGGGTAATGACAGTGATTTGCTAATGGTTTACACTAATCATTGATCTTTTATAAGAATTTCTAAGTTCAATATTTTAAGATCACAGCTTTCCACAATTTAAGCTTAAGGAGATGTAAAATATTTACATATAGATTCAGATAAATCTGGAATAGATCTTGTTGACTGTGACCTCTGAAATACAATTACTAGCTGTATTTTTTAGAATGTTATAATTTGCACTTGTTCAACTTCGGTGCATACCTTTCATATTCGAGGTAATCATTAATTCTGAATGAGCATTAAAAATAATCCTAGGGTCTGTCAGACTTTGAGCCTAACTAGTTCAAAGTATCAGTAAATTGAAATGCAAAACCTCCTAAATTCTGATGTTGAGAAAACTTCATGAATTCGTACATTAATTCAGTCAGTCATCCATGTGGACTTGGTAGCTTCTACATAAATATAGGCTGAATGGAAGAATGAATGAATGAATAAACTTCTATGTGTCTAGTGCATAGCTCTCATATGTGAAATGGTCACTAACTCTGAGTGAGCATGAAACAAAAATATTCTAGTTGCTGGTGATCGTGTAGTAAGCATGACAGATTAAATTTCTTACCCTCATGGAGCTTACATTCTAACGATGAAATTTCATCAAAAATATTTACTCATTTCAAATCAAACACCAAGGCAATTGGGCCAATATTCTTCTCTTATTTTCTTTTAGAACTCTCATGGTTTTCTTTTCTTTTTACCAGGAACAAGCTGCGGATGGCTTGAGATTAGTATCTGCGCAGGTGCCATTCTCACAGTGCGTGCCATGAGAATGTTGTGGATGTGTGCTGCTACTCGGGCACTCACACTTGTCCATGCTGTTTCTTAGGGGGGCATCTTGCCTGTAAGATCAGAAAAAGGAATTTCTACTTAGTATTAAGAAATTGAAACCAAAGTAGAAAATATTCATCCATTGCTTTCCCCAAACCATTCTTCTGCCTAGAAATGTCAACAACTTAACCACATGCAAATGCCCATTTGTGGACAAATGTGTACAAAAGGCATTTGGGGTTCCTCTCTTTGAGACTAGATTAAAGCTGGCCATATAGATAGAGAAGAAAACAGTTTTTCTCTGTAGCATCATACTGCTGCTTTGTATATTTTCTGATAGAGTAGCATCAGGTCCTCTGGCTGCTTTATTGAAATCCTATTTGACTTTTCTAACAAAGAAATTTGGTGTGCAAAACTCTAGTTAGAGATTTCAGTGACTTGTATCACCAAGAGGAGGACCATCAGCATGTAGTGAAGGTCCAGGCTTCAGACATGGGAGGCACACTGAGGAGTAGTTTTATTTGCAAGAGGTATTAGGAATCTTCCTAACAAAGTTCACCTTCGGGATGGGAGAAATCAAAGCACAGGCCATAGATCCAAGAAAAATGGCTTCTGATCAGAAAGGGTGATCTGAGATTAGGGGAAGTTGTGTCATCAATATCATCCCCTGGTCCAGCCCTGTGAAATCACAGCTGAGTGGTAGAGAAATATCTATGAAAAAAATAGTAAAACAGAAACAAATGTTTCTGTCTGGCAGAATGGCAGCTGCATGGCTGTCAAGGCCATGTAGAGGGGACATCACATGTGCATGGTGGCAGCAGGATGTCCCCAGGTAGCAGAAAGTCATAGGTGGTTCATCAGAGGCCCCAAAGAACCAGCCCCCTACTTGTAGTTGTCAGTGACTGTGGTAGGACTGGCTGTAGATAGTTTCTGGTTACACAAGATTGGTGTGGGAACAGCATGACCACAAGAAAAATCTGGGTTGACAGCCCCAGAGAGTTGGAGCAGAATATTAGCAATAGTAGTCAGTATCTGAGTGCTGCCCATGTGCTTGAAAATGTTCTAGGTGATTTACCTTTATTAGCTCCTATAATTCCCAAAGCGACCTCGAGTTAGGTCTTTCTATTATTCCTATTTTATAGACAAAGCAATGGAGTCACAGAGAGGTTAAGTAACTTGCCCAACGTCACACAGCAGAAAGTGGCAGAGCCACAGTTTTAATCTGGGTAGAAAATGAAAATAGATAATGGGTATTCCTAGGATTTGAGAAATGTTTGAGGTGGGGGGGAACGAGCATCGGGGGTACTGAAACGGACTGGAAGAGTGTGAACCCTGGCGGGTTGTTGTTGTTGTTGTTGTTGTTTTTAGTCCTAAGTTAGCGGCATGAAAGCACTGCCCTGGAAGCGAT